ACTATTTAGCGCGAACATCTCGGAAGATGAGGAGTCCGACTCTTCCAACAGCGCGTCGAAAGAGTTAGTCACACTCACATTAAATTGTGAATTATCCACAGTGTTGATTGTTTGGCTGTGCCCTAGTGAAGGGCTAGTCAGTTGGGCCACCCCTGAGGGCGGCGTGTACGTGGGTGTAGGATTTAGTGGAAACACAGTCGCGCGAAGCGACTAAGTCGCAGTTACGAAGAAAGAAATAGAGGTAGCCCTAAAAAGGGCCGTGTAGAGAGAACTCAAGTCTGAGTAAGATCGATGCGTCACGGGCGTACGCAGAAAGTGGGAGACAATATGATGTCCTCGTCTCACTCGCACTCATGATAAATGATCACGTGACCTTAACTGACTTAACTAACGGAGCCTTATGCGAACACCGCCATAGTTATAAGTAGTTTTGTTTTCGGGTACGTTTCGTATAATTTTTTAAATCTACTGTTAAAAGAGCACGAACAAGTTTTTTTTTCTTAGACCGTCAATGCGTTGAGCTATTTTTATTACACTTCAATTTTGAGAGAATAACAAAGGGCTTTGACTAATGTAGTAAGAATACGAGCACGTACGCTTTTTTTAATCGTACTAAGAGTATATACTTTTTTTTTTTTATTCATCATCGCCCATAGGCTCAGACATGGCATTCTTTTACACAAGCATAGTGTTAATTAGCCATCGGTGCACCTGAGTTATGATCAGATGTTTGTATGTATATATAAACATCTGGACCAACTCAGTCACACCTATGATCACGTAGACGAAGCGTTAGAGAAACAGTTAAGGGGGCTCCTACAACTACTGCTGAGGTCAAAGACAAACAAAAAATAAAGTTTTGTTTTTCAATAAACAAATGTGTCTGAAAATCATTATGATTTTTTTAATAACGTATGAAGTGGGAAAAATTATATTTATGTGTGTAGTTTAACTTTGTACGAAAAATTAATTATTGTTTTGACCAGTCTAGTGCATACGAGGGTACACCACCAGACCAGACCACCTGTGTTGGTGTAGTATAGCGATGTAATATATTGGTATATGGTATATATATGTCGTGAACAAGTACGTTTGCTACCCACGTGACCTCCTGACCTCCCGGACACTATTTATTTATTTCCATCACAAATATCTCGCTAAAATGGTCCTTTATCCACAATTTTTAATACAGCATATTACAGAGGAAGACTTCATCTACAAAACGTATATATTCAGTCTGCTGGGACATTTAATTTAGGTTTTTTATAAACGAAAACAAACTGTTTTTCACGCTGCCCCATAGGAACACGTGCTAATAGTTACAACTTTGAGCTCGGATTTCTCAAAATTTTGAACCATTCGAAATATAATTTAGACCACCATTAAATTCAGTAGACTTTTATTTACAAGAAATAATATATCTCTGTTTGGGGACTTTCGCACTAATCATAAATGATCACGTGACCTTAACATACTACAAACGGAGCCTACGCAAACACAGCCACAGTAATACATTAACAAGTACTTAATTTTAAAAAATGTTTATTAAATGGGTTTACACTAGATTGCATAGTCATCAAAAAAAGTGTGTGTGTGTGTGTGTGTATTGACCCAAAGGCTGAATAACTTATAACTGATAATTAATAGATTAATACCTACTAAAGTTTTCTATTCCGATAAATATTTTGTAGAACCCGCTGTAAGGAGTAAGCGACATGTACCGAACAACAGGAACGGAGCACTGGACCAAAAGTCACTAGACAAAAGTTACTAGATTCTCTCACTCAATAATTAAATTCATCATTAACAAACTTTGTGACATTTAATTACATTAATTTATATACCTCCGTAATCCGCAAATGAGGAGGAATCGAATCGTACAGGTAGAATTGGATTTTAACTCAATTTAGCACTTAAAACAAAGTTTTTTATACTTCAGCGCCGCGCCCATTTTCAACTTTTTATTTTGCAAATATCTCGCAAACTATTGATCCGCAAATAAAAATTCAAGTGGAGGATAAATCCGCAAGTAAGGAGGAATCGTTTAAACCCTAAATGGATGCAAAATATTAATATTTAATATTTACGGGCGCCAACTTCACAAGTCTACTTACAGAACAGTATATGAATATACACACTTTGAAGCACAATTCTACGTGGTTGATATGAACGTTACAAGTATATCAAGTATTACAAGCCTGAATAAAAAAAAGATAGCGTGATAAATCCTTGGGCGAATGTGTTCTTTACGACTCCTTACGAGAAGTTGACTGCAGAACTCGCAATGCTGCCAACATGACAACGCAGAAAATTCTAAATTATTAAGGCAGTAAATTTGAATGTAAATATGCGGTCGGTAATTCTTCTGTCAGTACTCAATAGGATTTGTTTATTTTTAACACAGCTCTCGAGCGAGCGAAGCTCGCAAGAGAGCCATTACCAAACTATTACTGTGGGTAAACAAGAAAAAAAAGTTTTGCAGGTGGTGGTGGAGTTTTCTTTTGATTTGTTATTAACATTCAAATTTACCGCGTTAGTGATTTTGAATTTCCCGCGCTGTATTAGATTGTTAACACTGCAAGTTCTGAAGCCAACTTCTCGTAAGGAATGGAGTCGTAAACTACTCTTTTACCCATAGAGGTATAAGAATAGAGTGGAAAAGCGCTATACGAGCCCATTAGCGGCAGCGACAGTGGGTGTTTTCAGCAATCGTCACCAGCAAGTAATTTAGGTTGCGCTCTACGTTACCGTCAAGTCGGTAAGTCAACTACCTTGAATTAACTGGCGCTCTATTCTGTAATCTGGCCAGTTAAAACAGCAGACGACGTGAAAGTCGAGAAAAAAGTGAAGATTTCATCGCTGTTGACTGTCGTCTGCTATTTTAACTGGCCAGATTACGGAACAGAGCGCCAGTTAATTCAAGGTAGTTGACTTACCGACCTGATGGTAACGTAGAGCGCAAATTTAGATTACTTGCTGGTGACGATTACGGAAAACACCCAGTATAATTAAGTGTAACGGGGCATCTGTCCTTGTTGCCAAAGCCACGTTATTGGCTACTTCTTCGTCCTAAATCCTACAGTTGATTCAATCTCATGTAGAACTCAACCAATAACAAAACTGCCAGACAAAAACAGATGCCCCGTTACGTAGCGAATTCTGCTGTCGCATATCACGCCCCCTTTTCTCCTCTATTCTTATACCTCTATGCTTTTACCTCAAAGAGAAGAAATGGTGCGATAATGTTTGAAACATACGATGCTTGTGGGAATTGCTGGAAATGAATGGAACAAAGTGTTCGTTGCCGATATATCTCTATATACATTTTAATTTTTATTAAAGATATAAAATCGCTTTCTGATAATTCATATGTTTATAGCACTCGCTGCAGCAAGTAAACATGTATTTGCGTATATATACTTATTTACAGTTGCACATTGCTTTCTTCAAACATTATTATGGCTAAAATATACATTTTTTTAATTATTTTTTCGTTATTGCAATTTCAATGTCGCACAGAGATGATACAAGTAATTGTGTGGTTAAATAGTGGAAACTAAAGCACTCAGTAATTAAGTAATGCCTTTTCTTTTACTATCTGCGCTATCAAAAAACATAATATGCCTCATTTTGTTCGTGTAATTACAACACTTACTGGCTAATTTCTTTCATGATTATCGACGATTACAATAAAAATTAAAGCGTTACCGGAGATTCCATTGAATATTAATACTTTTAGTCGTAATATTCATCAGCTATTAGACCTTTTCAATTAATCTCTTACATTTCAATGAACTTTTAGGGGGGTTTTTTTTTACTTGTAGTGAATTTTTATTTCTTGTATTTCTAAACAATTATTTTATTTTTAACATAATTATGATAAAGTTCTTTACTTTACATGATAGATAGTTGAAGAAAAAATTCATTGATGCTTTTTTTCAGATTCCTTAATTCAAAGAATCAAGTAATTTACTACACTCAAAACGGCTAGAATAGTAACATATTTATTTCTTTTGATTTACGAAGCTGTAATCATATTTTTGCCTCTCACTATTGGAATGGTTATTGATTTTTAAAATTTTCATTCAATATTTCATAATATTATTTAACAATTTTTATTTTTGTTCAATTAATTACAAACGAGTCTGATGTACATGAAGAAGATAGTATGCTTGTAACTTGTAAAAATTTGTCTTCTTAAGTCATCTTATATAATATTCAATAAATTAAAGTATTTCATATGTCTTATTAATGCTTCTAGTCGAGTCGTTGGGGGTCGTGTAACTTTATATCTTTCGAGATGTATTTTTTTTACATAGTATTACGTGATTGACATAACTTCTGAGGGTATTATTAGATAAATTATTAACAGTGTTTATTATTAATAATGGCTTTCAGGGTACATAAGAATAGAAGCATTGAATGTAATATATATAATACGTATATGCAGTTTTCAAGCACAAATACTATTAAGAATAGAATAATTAAAATAAACGAGTCTTGTGAATTGATTCCTAACGTATTTTTAAGTTATACTATTTTTCATGAAAACAAATATTTTTCTTACTCCAATGAATATTTCATTTTTAAATATATAGAGCCGCATATACCTATATCGACGCCTCGTACGAAGTCTATCCTTATTCAGATTTTCCAATGTTAATTTAAATGAGAAAATGTGAATAAGGCTTGACTTCGTACGAGGCGGCGTGTCGCGTCGATATAAGCTGGTATATATATATTCGTATATTTTATACACGTGTGTAAGGTGTGGGCAAATAAATTCACAGCTGACCAAAACGAGACTGCATCAGGAGGAGGCTATCTCGCGCGTGCTTTTTGAGAAGGATGTTGCTGTAGGCGCGGTTAACAAAAAAAAAAAAAAAAAAAAAAAAAAAAAAAAAAAAAAAAAAAAAAAAAAAAAAAAAAAAAAACAAAAAAAAAAAAAAAAAAAAAAAAAAAAAAAAAAAAAAAAAAAAANTGTACACATATATATATGTGTATATATAATATCAGTAAAAGATAATTATTTTCAGAAGAGCACAGCAGAACATATCAATCAATTACCTTTTTTTCATCAAAAAATGAAGCAATTTTAAAATATATTTCACAACAATGTGTTTATCTTTAACTTTTTTTTATTCAAAAAAGTTGCTATTTTTGCCTTGTCAATGAAATTTCTTATCATATCTTGTTACCCAAGTTAATTTTTTTTATAACTTTTCAACTATTAAAGTACAAATGTTTATTTTAATTTTAAGTGTAAATTTTTCATTATGTTAATTGAATTGCAACTATTCAAGTAATTTTGCAGATTTAAAACATAAATTTTATCAAAGCAGTACAGCGAAAATATAATTTTCACCTAATTAAAATGTAATTGAGTTGAGTAGGAAAAAATTTCAATGATACTTATATATGAAAAGTATGATACAACATAAGTAATATAATAAACCAGTATTCATGAAGAAATACATTGTGTGCTACACAACTACAATTTTTTACAATTTGCCAAAAAATTGTCTTTCGGAATATATTTTTGTATGTATATTATGTTATAATAAAACGTTCTACCCTGATAATGCATGCATGAGTCGCGATTTAGATGAAAAATTATAGTCTCTTTCGTAAATGTAGCCTCTTATTATAAATTTTACAACTAAAAATCGTCTTCAAAGGTTCACATCATAACATGAACTTCCGTCTAAAAATCTTTTTTCCTATCTCGGAAGTTTTTCATGACTTTTGAAGGTTTGTTGCGCCTTCAGTAGGTACGAGATAGTAGATTTTGTCACAGATACACATCTTCAAAAATTCCTTGGTGATCGTTCCCGCCTAATGCACATCAGTGACGAACTTTAGTTATTTCTACCAAGAGCTCAACAAATGTGCGACAGTCACGAAAAACTCGAGGTACAAGAAACAGCGTTTCACACCTGGTGCGCATCAGTTATCACATGACCCTCTCGGCTTATTGTTCTGCTAAACATGTGCTTTACCAGGTATAAACACTACTACTAACATCTAACACATTTTTTTATTGCGGTTAAAAAATAATTTTTTGAGTTCTTCAGAAGCAAAGAAGATAAATAATCTTGTTTTAAAATCTGTGTAATTTATGACATCAGTAAAATTAAAAAACATCCATGTCGGCGAATCGTCTGGAAAATAAGTAGTTAACAACGAAAAAAAAAAAGTTAAGTAGGATTAACACTCCGAAAAGTATTTTTTGTGACAAAAATCAGTTTCAAGCATTGAATATGTAAAAAATTTAAGAAGTATTTAAGAAATTTCTCCTGATGCAAGTTTTATTTGATCTTTGTTTTAGACTCACACAAATAAGTTTGCTTGATGCAAGATTTTTGAATAATTTACTATATACTTTATATAAATCTAATAGCACTTTAACTATATTTTGGTTGAAGTAATTTCAATTATAGGTGAAATGTACACATTTTTTACAAATATTTAAATGGTGTTTGAACGTTTAAAAAAATTGAAACATACGTTAAATCAAATTTGCATTGTCTTTTCACGAAAATATAATATCACCAATCAATACAACGAATAAGATTGATTTTTTATCACAATATAGACACCATGCTAATACAAAAATATGAGTATAATTTATCATTTGCATTAATAACATTGATATTTTTTCTCTATCATTAACTGGTAACAATGTTCATATTGTTAGCACCCTATAACGAAAACGAGACTAAAAAAATTTATAATTGTGAGTAATCGTTTTATAACCTATGAAGAAATTTGAAGGGTACCCCAATGCGCAATAAATCTGATTGTGCCTTTTCTTTTAATTTTGGAAAATAAAAGTCCAGTGCTTCCCAACAAATTTCGGAAAGTTTTGGGACTGTTAACCAAACTGAATGGATTTCATCTGTTCTGGCAACCTGATAATAAATTATTCATCATTATCTTACGTGTCAGCTAAACTGAGGATAATTTTACCACACGTTATACTAACATCAAGATGAGGCAAGAAAAAAACAAGCTTACTTCGTTGTCCTGCTTAACGATGCCACCAAAAGTAAACATTTGTCCTGCTGGAGTTAAAGCTGTGGAGTGAAAATATGTCGGTTGTGGTAAAACACACGTTTTTAGACAAGTCCACTGCAAAAGCTCCAGATCAAGCCTCCAAATGTCGCTGAAAACATGTGTACCATTGTAGCCGCCAGATATGACAGCCAATGTTGAGTCTGTTTTCTCATCTTTGAACTGAACTAAGCCATGACATCGTCTTGGAGCAGGATAAGTTTTTTCAATATCACCTCGAGTGCACAGAGTCATCCACCTTCTTGTCAAAGTGTCGAAAGCTGGAAGTTCCTAAGGATAACAATAGATAAAATTTAATCCTATATCTCAGGCAAGGATACCAAAACAGTAACAATGTAATTTACGGATAAAAAATAAAACAGTTATGAGAACAAACATTCCAGTACTTAGTCATACGAATGTTAACTGTAAAAGAATGGATAGATAGAGAGAGAGAGAGAGAGAGGGACAATCAGAGAAAAGACAAATAGACATAATCTTGTGAGGATGCCTACCGCAAAGCCAAAAGCTTCTGATGCAGTACCACCACCAAGCACATAAATAATCCTCCCATCAAACGCAAGTTCGTGTCTGTATCTGCCCTTGGGCTCGCACTGATCCCTGCCAGCACAAATGTACACAGACTCCCAAATCTGAGTTCTCATATCGAACCTGTGAATGTCACAGGTATACTCGAGGCCAGTGGTACCGCCAACTGTATACAGATATGGGCCGTGGCAGATGACCGCCTGACCATACTGGGGATCGGGTAGCTCGCCAGTGGCTGGTACCACCTGCATTTGGCCGTCATTGACATTGCAAACGTACACATTGTTGTTGCAATTGTCGCCAAAGGGTACCCCCGTACCACCGTGTACGAGAAGGGTGACACCGCGAAGGATGACTGCGTTCGAGGCGAGCTCATTAGGCATCGTCTTCTGACAGGGCAGCCGTTTCCAGCGTTTGGTCGCGAAATTGTACTTCCACAGCTCCTTGAAGAGGGGCCGACTAATGGTCCAGCTCTGGTCGTTCTGCATATCTGGGTCATTGGCTGTGATGCTCGGGTTGAAGCCTCCATAGGAGTAGAGGTTGCGCTCGTCGCAGACTACCCTGTGGCCGCTGCGTGCTTTTGGCTTCTCCGCGCTTTTCACCTCGTGCTGCACAAAGGTGAACGGCTTGAGTGCATACATCATCGTCGCTGTTGTTAATGACGTTTGCTAGGGTGGTGTTATTGTGACACTGCTGCTGCCAGAGGTTAACGAACGAGACAAAGGTCAGAAAAGTTGAGTATAGTACAGAGGCTGGCTAGCTGTTGTCGGAGCTTTCATGCAGCAGCACGGGAAGTAGAAATAAACGGAGTCAAAGTGTCTGGGGACTGCTGTCTTTTAAGTTTGCATGCAAGTAAACCCTTACAGTCGGTTTTGATGTGGTGCCTTGGTGTATTATAGGGTTAGACTAGACAGGACAGGAAGAGACAGCGCGTCCTCGGCGACGATGTTGATGCCCCGGAGCTTACGCATAATTGCGCTCGATACTTATGTTGTGTCCTCGCACTGTATATACGTTTGCAAACGCAAGATAGGATAGTGTTTATATTGTCGCACTTGCTTACTATATACTTTTTCCGCCTTCTCCGTTATCTGCAGCCACTCCGAATCTGTGTTTTGTTGTTGTGCAACAGCAGGTTCTTAACAATTTTTCATGATGATGGCGCTTGCTTGCTTATATAGGTACAGTGTTTTCGACCGACTGCTTCTTACGGAAGCTCCTATCCGCCATCTATTCGCTCCGAGCCGATGCAGATGTTGCGCCCCCTCTAGCCAAAATCAGGCAACATTTCTTGCATGTAAACAAACAGCTTAGAACATATATACATACGTACAGCTGCTTGTGATTGGCACTTGGCAAGCTAGAGAGAGAACGACGATCCTCTCCTGCTGTCTTATTCAGCCAATCACAAGCAGCTATACGCATGTATATATGTTCTAAACCGTTTGTTTACATGCAAGAAATGTTGCCTGATTTTGGCTAGAGGGGGCGCAACCTCTGTATCGGCTCGGAGCGANAGAGCCATTTAGTCAGTTATAAACCAGCCGCAACTCATGATGAAGCTATAAAATAAAAAAATAACAATACATGTGTTTTTGGCGGCAAGTTAACAATCTATCTTATGCTCGAAAATTCATCTACAAAAGTATAAATACATAGGAGGTCGATTTTTGGTAGAAAATAGATTGTTAAATTGCCGCCAAAAACACACGTATCGTTATTTTTCTATTTTATAGCTTCATCATGAGTTGCGGCTTGTTTATAATTGACTAAATGGCTCTAATCCTGACTGCTCTGATTGAGAATTTTAGAGGCCACTTTTGGCCAAAAAATAAAGACCGCTAGATGGCGCTGATCTAAATAATTATTGCTATTTACAGTAAAGTCACTTCAACAGTTATAAACCAGCCGTAAATAATCTTAGAAATAGATGATAAATAGTTGACATTTTTTATGCTACTTGCGGCAAGTTTACTATTTATCTTTTACCTGAAAATCGACCTCCAAAACTAAAGATATTCATATGGTTTCATAAAATCGACCATATGACATTACTTAGCAGTGATGATAACTATAATTACTACACGTAACTTAACGTATATCTTACACCGTGCTCTCTTTACCAGAATGGTAAAATCAGAGGCTGTAATGTTACGTAGGTCGTGGTGGTAACGCCGCATGGTCGCATGGTCAGGCGGCGCCAGCGTCAACCTGTACTAACTGTCGGTGACAGTGTTGGGCTCGGTGGGTTCACAGGTTATGACGCATTGTTTTCATTTTGCTTTTTGGGCAACGCAAGTGTTTGCATTGCCTATTTTAAGGAAAGCAAGCAGCTTGCCTATAGATGGTGGATAGGAGCTTCCGTAGCTTCTTTTTTAGAGAGCTCTCCGAAATTATTTTTTTCCCCTTGTACCTATAGACCGTAGTAAGGAGCTATTCACATAGACATTTTTTGCTTATTTCATTGTGCACGTTAATATTGAAAAGGGGGTTCCACTGTTCCGCTAAACTCAAATTGAGTGAACTGACTGAACAGACTGAACAGAGAGGATCGTCGTTCTCTCTCTAGCTTGCCAAGTGCCAATCACAAGCAGCTGTACGTGTGTATATATGTTCTAAACCGTTTGTTTACATGCAAGAAATGTTGCCTGATTTTGGCTAGAGGGGGCGCAACCTCTGTATCGGCTCGGAGCGAATAGGCCATAGCCATAGAGATAATATCTTTGTTGCCTGATGGAAAAAGAGGTATGGGTCTGCTCAGTCTGTTCACTCACTTTGAGTTTAGCGAAACAGTGGAATCCCCTTTTCAATATGAACGTTCACAATGAAATAAGCGAAAAATGTCTATGTGAATAGCTCCTATATACCGTGTACTGATAGAAACAGAAACAAATACTTACTAAAAGTATCGGAGTGCTCCAGGGGCTCCAAGTATCACGGCATTCGATTTCTCACAAAAGTCAATATTTTTTTCGATAATTCGTATACTGCGCATGCGCACAACCATAATTTTATGTAAATTATCGAAAAAAATACTAACTTTTCCGAGATATCGAAAGTCGTGATAGAGCCCCTGATTACTCCAGAACAGTCGCTCGAAAACGCTCTAAGACTTGGAGTCTCTAAGTTTAATGTGAGTTGAGTACGTACGCAGTTTCTGAGTGATATAGGGTTGTTGATACTTACTTTTGATACTTGATAGTGAATTATGGGGGGGGGGGGGGGCCAAAAACTCGAGATAGCATTTGAATTTTGAGCGATTATACGATTTTTAAATAGTTTTTTAGATAAATCCAAATCCTAGAAATGTAAAATAATATCGTCTTTCATTAAACGTGGCCTAAAAGTAGAAAATCAATTGAACGAAATAATTTTTTTCGCATGTCATTACGCTGTGTCTATTCGCACTTGAGGGTATTCTAAAAGACAGGGCACACGGGCGTACGCGGGCGCACACTTTTGGAGCGTTCCAAGAGCTAAAATTGCGTGCGCCGTAACTGCTTTAACTTATAAGAGGATACATTTTGTGAAGGGAGCTTTATATAACCAATATATAT